GCAGGGGGACAGGGGGGACAGTTCTAACTTGCCATTTGTAGGGCGCTTATGCCCAGGTGATGTGAAAGCTGCTCCGAGACAGATGCCATTTGTCTGGGGCAGAGAGTCCCCCATGGGCCCCATTGCAGTTATGGGCGCTGAACCCCTGATGCCCTGTCCTGGTGATTTCCCACGTGGTGTTACGTGGATCCCCATGAGCTGGTCCCTTTCTGCCCTGCCCACAGGCCTCAGCTGTCTAGGTGCTTCCTTCTTCAAATTTCTGCTCATTTCATGGCTATGCCAGCTGCTCTCTAAACTGGAAGGCGGCAATCAGACCCCAGGGCTTGGGGCTCCTACTGTGGTTTCCTCCCCTTTGACCTGTCCCTTTGCCAGGCCATGTAATAATCCTGCGTGGACTGCTGTGAACATCATTAGGAGTGAATTTTGTGCAGCACTGATGGTGCTTTTCTGCCATCCACTTGTATTAATGCTCTCACTGTAAAAGAAAAAAAGAACCTTTTACATGGGCCAGCATGAGTCTCCCGTTCCTCAGTGATCTTCACCAAGTACAAAATGATTGCTCTGCAATTAATTGCTGTAGGATTTTTGTAGAACATCTGGGCACATACGTGGGAAAGGTTTTCCAGCTATTGCAGAAGCTCAAATGGTTGCGCTGACATCCCAGTGGCTGCTGGTAAAGTTCATTAGAGGGTGAAGGAGGAGAACCTGCACTGCTGTGAGTGACCCTGTAGTACTGAAGCTGTGTTCACATGGCAGCTGGTGCTGCTTTAGCTCTGGCAGGTAAAAACCAGCTGCTTTCCGGCAGGTAAAATGGTGTTGTCAGCGCTGGTGTGAGTGACACGAGCATGCTGATCTCTCAGCCCACTGTAAGGAGAGGGTGACTGTGTGTTCCTACTGCCTGTCGGCTTGGCTTCATCTGCTCACTGCTTTCCCTTACAGGTCAGGTTTAGATGACATCCCAAAGTACCAGGATGTACTGGTACCATACTGGTTTATGCCTGGTTGTTCAGCGTAGCTTAGACTGCCTCCCAAACTGGTGCAACACAAGCCCGTCTGAAACGTGAGTGAGTCTGTAGCTTGCATTTGACCTGGTGAACTGTACTGCTGCAAAGTCAAACAACAGACACTGGAATTAGAGTTAATCTCCAAAAAGTGTCAGACTTGTGTGGTTCTGCAAAAGCCTCACTTGTGTCTATGCTTCCCAACAATACAGCTATTAATAAAAGGGCCTCACTTGTGTCTATGCTTCCCAACAATACAGCTATTAATAAAAGGATGGTATCTTGTTTTTTGAGGTTCCTTGCCTTATCCAGAGCGGATGATGGACCATGTCCGGGGCCTAGCCATGCTTGGCACAGAGGATGCTGTCTGTAGGGCTCTGGTTGTTTGCTGCGAAGTTGTGGTACCTGGGATGTGGAGCTGCAGGAGGGAGGAAAATAATCTCATTTTTTGCCAGCCTCTTGCCTGTGCTCAGTGAGATCTTTGGCTGCAAGACAGTCACCTCCTGTTCCTTGTTCTGCATGGGTCTAATAGCGATTTGGAGAAATGCGACTGCGGTCAATAAGTGTTGCAATTGAACAGAATACGGTCTCAGCTCCATGGTGCAAAGTACTCTGAAAAAAGTCGAAAGGCTTGCAAACCCTCCAACATATCTTAAGGTAGTTGTTAATTAGGGCATTGGGATGATGGGTCTGTCTGGATGGCTGTTGTAAGGATTTTGCTTCTGAGACGGCTGGTGCAGGTCCCAGGCTCTGTGAGCAGGATACTCCTATTGTTTTTTCCTACCTGCAGCATAAACTGCTTTTTGGTCTCTCGTGTGGCCTGCCGGGCTCTCAGCATGTGCCTGTGTATGTTGTGGACTAAGAGGGAATTCCGAGCAACTTAAATCTTGTCTCACGCTTTCTCTGTGCCCAGCTGTGAGCTATCACAAGCCCACATATCCCAGGACAAACTCATTTTTATGGTTCCTTCCCATAAAAAATCCATCCTGGCGTGTGCCAGGAGGTCTTGCTGGGATGTGGCTTTGCCTGGGCTGCATCTGTGCCGCTGGGTGCTTCATGGTGGGAGTCACCTGCCGAAATCACAGTGAAGTTGTTTAAACTGCATGGAGGCACCTGCAACCTTCTCATGGTGGGGGGAGGAAAATAAGCAGCAAAAGGTCTTGATCTTCTCCTGTGGCAAACGTCAGATGAGCTTCACCCAGAAGCACCTTTTCTCCCCTGTAGACTTACAGGCAGCTCAGAGGAAGGTGTCCCCGCTGCCAATGTCTCGGTTTGGGCAGATGAACCCTGCTGTTGGGGACAGACAGAGCCTCCTCCTTTGCTGCTGCTGTACAGGGGAAAAAATGTGCCGTGGAGGCAAAGAGGAGCAGCTGGCTCCAAACCTCGCTGGGCAGTTTGTCCCTGAGTGTGCTTGCAGATGCCCTGGCTGTGGAGCAGGGAGCAATGGCAGGA